CAGGCATTTAACGATTCGACAAAAACGACATTCTAAGGATTAGGGAATAAATGTTTCGTTATTTTGTGGATTTTTGTCCCAAGTTTGTCACTGTTGTCAGCGACTTTTAAAAAGTAAACAAATTGCCAACTTAAGCCTTTTTCGGGATACGGTTTAAGTCCCCGGACTTAAGTCGGTCTTAAACTTAGACTTCAGTCGGTGACTTAAGTTTTTTCGTAATACGACCCCCCAGCACTCTAGACGTCCTGGAGAAAATCAAACTCCTTAGTTAAGTGAAAAAGTAGACTTTTAATATTTTTACATTTTTGTATCACTGAAAAAGTATCTGATACACGTGTCCCTTTACTAAAAAGCAAATCAGCAAAATCCAAACACTTTTCCAGCCGGTAAAATAAATCGGAAAAGCTACTGAGCATTAATCTTTAAAGCGTCTATCCTAATTTACAGCGCATGAGACGGTCGCTACTATCAACATCTCTCACACAGAAGCTAGTAGTAGATTCATTTTCATCATAGCTATCTTGTTGTACAAAATGAGATGTCTTCATCAAGATAATATATAGTGAAAATTGATCGACAGTTCGCCTTTAGACAACATGATAGATTGAGTCCCTGAAAAGCATAATAAATTCTGTTTTTTTTTAATAAAGAGAAGTTAAGGATATTTTTAAGCGACTACGGACGACATCAATTGTATTTTTACTTTTTTCTTTTCGTAAAAAATTTAACGAAATAAATCAAGTCAATTTAACATAAAATTTTCATGTCTAATTTATTCTTCCACGTTTTCAGTAGAAAAGTTTAAAGTGGGCTTTGAAGATACAAGGTCGTGAGCCCATCAATTTGGAGCTGCTAACAATAAACATCATGTTTGTTGTTAGTAGCTTAACGTTATTTTGCTTCAAAGAACAAAATAAGAAAAGGAATAAATTTATATTTTCAGCGAAATGCACGTATTCTATATTCGAAAGAAGCAGTGTTCACTGCAAGTTTATCCTATATTCTACCAACTTCCCACATTAAAAAGTTAACAAATTTGAAAATACCCCTCCCCAGTTTCCTGGCAGTTTCAAGTACACAAGTTGTGCTCTATGCTGAGCTGCTTTTTAGAAAAGGGTACAGTCTACTTTTTGAGATACAGAGCTGTCAATATCGTCGTCAATGCACCTTCTATGTGCATATAGAAATAGATATAAAGCAAGAAATGAAGAACAGAATAAATTTTATGTTTTTATCGAAAAGAAAAATCGCACTCGTTATAAAATGAGTGTATGTTCTAGCAACTTCTCATATTAAAAAGTTAACAAATTTGAAAATATCCCTCTCCAGTTTCCTGGCAGTTTGAAGCACACAGGTTGTGCTCTATGCCGAGCTATTTTGTAGAAAAAGGTACATTGTATTTCTTGAGTTATATGTCTATTAATATCACAGCTTAAGAAAAATCATAATTTTTTTTATGTTCAGCAGTTAAATGAACTCCTTTTGACCACCATGACTTTCCGGCTTTCTCTTCGGGTCATGATAGCCAGGGATAATATTTGTTGAAATTTTATTTTATTTAATAAGTGAAATGATAAGTCATTTTTTGATTCGAACCTGTGGAGAATTAGTCTGTACTTTTTCATGATCAACATACAATAAAATTCATAATGATTGTGGTTGCTCGAACGCAAGGAGCAGTCTCTTCCTTGTCTATATAATACATAGATATTCGATTTAAATATTATTCTCTTATATTGGATTGAAGAGAAAGGTAGTGTGCATATGCATGTTGTGTGCCACGATAAGAAAAATGAAGAGTTGAAGAGTCAAGAATAGTCCCTTATAGTGTCAGAAAATCATAGTCTCTCTTATTTTTCAATAAACAGAATAAGAAAAGGAAACATTTATATTTTCATCGAAATGTATATTTATCTCTATATGCACATAGAAGGTGCATTGACGACGATATTGACAGCTCTGTATCTCAAAAAGTAGACTGTACCCTTTTCTAAAAAGCAGCTCAGCATAGAGCACAACTTGTGTACTTGAAACTGCCAGGAAACTGGGGAGGGGTATTTTCAAATTTGTTAACTTTTTAATGTGGGAAGTTGGTAGAATATAGGATAAACTTGCAGTGAACACTGCTTCTTTCGAATATAGAATACGTGCATTTCGCTGAAAATATAAATTTATTCCTTTTCTTATTTTGTTCTTTGAAGCAAAATAACGTAATACACACATATATACAACGACGACGAATATAAAGGAAGAAAGAAAAGTGAGAAAAGGAAGAAAAATAAGATAAACGAAAAGAAAAAAAGACGCTGTGTGTTGGATGTGTACAGTTGAATATAGTGTAATATACCGTGAAAACCTAAGTGGAGTCTAAAGACCCCCAAAATCGGAAATACCCCGACGAGATCTTAGCACCGTACAGCGTAACTCGTTGCACTGATTCCGAATATCTAAGTTTCAAAAATTCCGTTTCTCTAGAAAAAAACCATCGAATTTTGATATGATTTTTATAAATCAAATTAACTCATATATAATATCTCATTAACGTAGATGGAAGAAACATAACAAATGAGTTTCTATAACTTGTGAACATTACAAGATGAATGAACTATTTCGATTGAAATATATAAGTTAGTGCTTTTCTTATTCTGTTCCATTGTCTACTGCAGCGCATATATAGAAAAATGGAAAGCGGTAAGGTTAAAAGAAGAGAAGACTGAAAGCGGTACATTTGATCTCTACAGTTCAGCTATATTTTCTTTTTCCTTTTGATTCTATGTATAGAATTGCCATTTAATAAGATTTCTGTTCTATAACTGAGCAACAGAAGAGGATTATAGTTACTCAAAAAATCTAGAAAACTCGACAAACACGTTCTAAAACAGCTCTAAATCATGAAGAATCAAGATAGACGCTGTCTTTTATTCGAAACAATCACTTTTGTTCAACAGCGCTATGTTCAACGAGAATAAATGCTACTCACTTTGCGCCACCTATAAAAATAATTATCTTTGCAACCGTTCACACTTTATTGGTGAAACTTTCCAAAAATGTTTAACTAATTGTCGTTATTCATTACCCAAAATTTCAGTTCAATCCGTCTGGCGCAAAAAAAGTCGATTTATAATGTCTTAAATTTCATAAAACTTGTGCTTCCAAAGCACATTTTGCACGTTTGTTATGAAAAGCTCAAAAATATATTTGTAGTAGAAAGAAAATGTATACTTTTCGAAATCCAATTTAATTTCTTTATTTAAACTCATTTTTAAGAAAAGAATATTTAAAAATTCTGAAGCAGAGATCGTATTTATACCATATGTGGTCAGCTTAGTTTCTTCAGAGGATTCATCCAAAACTCATGTGATCAGCTTCAGGAACGAGAGAAGCTGCGGAATGATTCCATGATATAGAATAGGATTTTCTCATCTATGTTAATAACTCATCGACAAGTTGTTTGTTATGAATGAAACATTTCACTTTCTCCTTGGTTCCCCAACAATACAATGAAAGGAAGATAATTGAGCAAATACTGGTGCACTCATTATTTACAATTTGTTCTATTCCTATCCTCGGATTTTGGTAAGGATTCCATTGGAACACTTCTGCTTTTTGTTTTAGTCTCACTTCGACCATAGCTGACAGTAATTCAATCTGAAATGTTTGATTGTCGTCGTTTGTTTCTGTAGCGATAGATATCCCTAGTCGAGACTCCCGACAAAACTTCTATAGGACTCCTGTCACCAGACCCTGCGGGAGTCAGGTGGAAATCCCGAGGGATTTTGAGGACATTTTCCATGACTTTTTCACGTCCTTCAAACAATACACCGATATCGGTAATTAGCGATTTATCTCGTTCACGACGAAAACATATGTATATTTCATGATTCCGTAAATCATCATGATTTAAATTTGCAGATAAGTCCACAGAGGTTTGTAAAAAAAACATACTTAATTAAAATTTCACACTAGAGAAAATCGAAAAAAACTTTTGATCACATACTCATGGGAGAAGAAGTCAGAAACTGATCATTAAGTCCAGAGGGAGTGAATAAAAAAATGGACAAAAATAACCAAGTGATTTACGGACGCCAGCGAAAAAAGGAAAGTTTTTCCTCTTTTCTGATCGGCCAATCTACCATTTTTCTTATAAAACTAACATACATTAATGAATGCCTTTCCGGCATGAGTGATTGATTGTGAAGGTTTTTTTTATCTTATTTCATATCTTATCGTGCGACCATGGATCCGAAGGTTAGCGTTTATTTATTCATAGTGACTGTATAGCAATAGAATAGTAGTATTTCTTTCAGTTTGTTCTTTTCATATTTTCCATTTTGCGTGCTAGCGCATTGTTAGGTATTAATTCATATCAACGATAAAAAAAAATTAAAGTTTGTTTAAAGTTGGGTACCGCCAAAAAGTTCTGAAAAATTTTCAAACAAATTGACGCAGAAAAATCTCCATGGTAAAATTATACAATTTTGAAAAATTTTCTTAACTTTTTGGCGGTACCCCTCGCTAAAAATAGAAAATTTTTCGGATATCAAGTGTGCTGAATACGAAAAAGCATTTTTCTTTAAGTCTAAATGAACTTTAATTTTTTGTCGGTGATATGAAGAAAAAAGCATTGATCACAGCTCAAACCGTAAATGGACGTAACCGGGTGACATCTAAGAATAAAGAGGTAGTTGTAGTCATACTGTTTCCTAAATAGAATCAGTCATAGCTTTTCGAAAAAATAAAAATCCAGTCTGAAAGAAAGCTAGAAAACGCTTTTTATCTTGATTCTGCGCACCGACTACCTGTCTAATCGTAACGTGAAATAATGACTCATAATTTTTGTTCTTTTCTTATTCATATTTGTTTATTTGTCATTATTTATATGATATTTATATTTTACTGTATTTTTGAAGACAGAATATTTTTACTATGCGAACTTTAGTGAATTTTTTCTTTCTGGCTGCTTAGTTATTTTTTTGCCTATTTTGATTGTAGACAATAAGATGAGCAGTAGCACTGCTACTAGTGTTTCAAATTCTATACAAGAAGATGAAGATCTTAAATTGTTTCAAGCAGCCAGACGATGTGGTCGAAGAAATGCTATGGGTGATTTTACCGTTCAACTCGCCCAAAGTAAAACAGTTTATCTTATTTAATCATATTTGAAACGAATATTTCTTTTTCTTTTAAGGTGGTTCTTCGTTAAACACACCAAGAAATGGAACCGAAGTTGACTCGATGTTTCAGTCACTGTCGATAAAACCACAATAAGGAGGGTTTAAATTACAAACGTTCAACAAAAAATATTGAAAGACTGACATTTGATCTGTTTTTAACTCTGTACATTATTTTTGTAGTTCGTAAGTTTTAATCACTCTTTTTATAAAGCACTGTGATAGCTTTTTCCGACAAATAAATTTAACGTGTACATAATCAGAAGCGATACGTTTATCTCTGGCTTCAATTACTTGTCACTTGATATAAAGTCTGAATTCAAATAAAAAATTGCTATCGTTCCTATAGTTTCTTAATAGATGAATCCTTCAAATAGATAGATTTAAAAAGAAAACTAACACATTTGACATCATTAGTCAAAAGCAGTCTTCTCTCAATGGCAGTAAGTACTTGTTCACATATCTTTTTATATATTCAATCTTGTACTTTACAATGTTCTTTTCTGTCTATCTGTCTATTCAGTTTGATCTTGTTCGAAAACGTCTTCAAAAAGAATTGAAAATATTAACTGAGACTCCAACTCCTGGCATTAGGATTGTGGACGATGGTTCAGATATGAGAAAGTAAGAACCTGCACTCTTTCTTTTTAGCGATCCTATTTACCAATATTTTGTGTTCATTTAGATTGAGAATAGATATCGATGGTGCTCATGGAACATTATATGAAGGCGAAAAGTACCAGTTACAATTCAAATTTACCGATCAATATCCATTCGATTCCCCTCAAGTAAGGGATTCTTCTCAAATACAGATTATCAAAACTGAATACACGTTTAAGAAGACGAAACACGATAAATTATTTAAGGAATAAATCAAGAACTTTTTTTTATCAAAACGGACGACATATATTTGGCATCGTCTAAATAAGATTTGTCTAAACAGACTTTTCAGTATACATATCTTATTTTGTAGGTTGTTTTCGTTGGAAATAATATTCCACTTCATCCACACATTTATAGTAATGGTCATATTTGTTTATCAATATTAACGGACGATTGGTCTCCGGCATTGAGTATAAATTCTGTTTGTTTAAGTATTTTAAGTATGCTAAGCAGTTGCAAAGATAAAGTAAATATTAATGAATTGATGAAATCAAAACAAATGTATCATTTTAACGAAAATCTTTCTTTTCTCTTATAGAGTCGACCACCTGATAATGATTGGTACGTTAAGACATGTTCACAAGATCCAAAAAAGACAAGATGGTGGTATCACGGTAAAGATAACTGAATAATCGAAAATTAATCATCACAGCTGTAATACTGTTTGTTTTATAGATGATTCTGTGTAATTCCTGATTAACATAATAGATGTCAAAAATTGGTGTTATTTCGACCTGATTATACAGAGTAAGCAAGTGGTTTTCCTGTAAAATTCTAACTTTCTACCTGATAATAAGAATTATTTTGTATATTTCAGATAAAAGAAGTCTACAGTCAACTCAACAATGCAGTTTTCATGTTTATTTTTATTTTCCTTCATTTTTCTGCTTGTTTCTTGAACATAGTGTCTCTTTGAAATATGAACTGTTCATTTTTTGTGTGTAATGCAAAACATATCTTTCTGTGTGTGTGTGTGCATGCCATAACTAATATATGTTGTGATATTTTTTTATTTGTTCAACTTGGAGTAACTATTATTTTTTCTCTTCTTTGTTATTAAAATTCTTTACACTCTTTGAACAGTGCAATTCAATTAGTTCTGAATGACGGCGAAGCAGAGCAATGCTATTATTCGACGTTTGACTCTAGTTTAAGGACTATGGATACACTGTTCTCTTCGTCTGTACTGTTATTCTTTTTTCCTGTGTTTGCTTGTTTTTAATTTATTTCAACAAAGAAAAAGTTTGAATTCAATAATTTTGAACAATATATTATGAAGTTATACGCGATTTTCATCAAGCGCTATGAGCGATTTAGTTTTGAATTGATACTCGAATGCTTGTTTGTAAACATGAGACTGAAGACAATTGACATTAAAAATGACTTGGCAAAATATGTCAGGTGAATTAGTTATCTGACTTTTACAGGGGATATAGAAATAGCTCATTGAGCTAGAAACACTTGAAGTGTTTCTACTATGTTATGATAAACGTGAAACCGTGTGCTAGTGTCCCCATCTATCTTGCTAACATTTTTCAATTTTCTAGAAAGGCACTTTTGTACATTTTGATTGGTTCTTTTCTATCAGATCAATGAGGTTTCTTATTTTTCTTGACATATACGTTATTATTAATTAATATGATTATTCTATGACTACTAATAGTATTGTGTTACAGTTTATCTTTTTTTTCTCAAGTTTTTCCGTCATCACAACGCCTAATATGACCGTTTATTTTTGTTGCTCAAAAAGGTATAATGAATGATATTAAATTATGCTTCTACAGTTACTCTTAATCCTAAAGACTAATACCAGTAGTATTGCTTCTCGAATTCAATTTCCTTTTATTTTCTGTCTAGTTTAAATGGACGATAAACGAATCGTCGATTATTTTGCACTAGTCGGTATTGGCCCGGAAATTGAGAGAGATTTGGTACCAAATGACGAATATCATAGTTCAACAACACCTAAAAATCATAGCAATACTAATTCATTGAACGGTTATGATTTAACCCCACAATATCAACAACCCATTGTCGATATTGCTGTTATTGATCGAACATACGGCGAGGGAACACCGGCTGGCTACGATATTATTTCGCAAACGCCTACCGGCTTATCTGCAAATTTAAATCATGGTGGTTTACGGAATCATGAAATGTACATATGTTTTCGTCGTGGACGAGATAAATCACCGATTACCGATATCGGTGTATTGTTTGAAGGACGTGAAAAAGTCATGGAAAATGTATCAGTTATAGAAACGACACCACATGGTTATCCAGCGAATGTATTTAGTTCAAGTTTTAGCAAAGAACGAACGTTAATCACGTACAGGCGTGCAACATCAAATATTTTATGTAATACGCTAGCTGTCACTGATATTTGTGTAATTATTGAAAGCAAAGTAAGACTGTTTTATTCTCATTGCAAGAATGCTGCATGTATATTCTGCACTTTTAGGGTGAAGTACCACCTCACTCATACAATAAAATACACAAGAATCTCAATCGAAGTATGCTTGGTTCTCATATCTATTTATGTTATAAAAAATCTGTCATCTATCCTAAACGTATCAAATACAAACCAAAATTATTGTATTGTTATCCATCTTCTAAAGAATTTCCTGATAAAACGTCAATGTTTTGTTTTCCAATGGGTGCCTACATTGAGCAGTGGCCAGTAAAAGCGACTCAGACAATGACTCCAACATTCTCAACATTTCTATTAAATTCTAAAATGTACGGCGCTTGTATATCATATTATGAACAATATATATCTCATCAAAATTTGACAAAATATGAATTAGAAAATCAATTAGAATTTGTCAACAGCGAGCAACAACAATTATATGTTTCAACATGCATCGTCCTATTTTCACGTAATGCATTTTTCGATACATTTCGACGATTTTTATTTACAATCTATCATCTCATATTAACATCTAATATACTTACGTGTACAATGCCACAAGATGCGAACCTTAGAGAACAATTTTTATTTAATCAATCACCGTTGCTTAGGCAATATCTCAAACATTTTTTCTATGATATACCATTTCCATCACCATCAAAACCAAGAATATTTGTACAATACGAAGAACCATTATTACTCGTATTGCCAGAAGAAAACGGACTACCACAAAATGGAGCTTCATTTTTGGATTTACTGAAAAATTTGGGAACAGATAATACGTTGACATTGTTTTTATACGCATTATTGGAGTCAAAATTATTAATACATTCTCTAAGATCATCGGTATTAACAGGTGTTGTTGAAGCTGTAAACAGTATGTTATTTCCATTCCAGTGGCAATGTCCTTACATTCCTTTGTGTCCATTGACTTTGAGTGACGTGTTTAGTGCTCCGCTTCCGTTCATTATCGGTATTGATTCAAGATACTTTGATATGTGTGAGCCACCATTCGATGTTATCTGTGTCGATTTGGATACAAATTCAATAACTGGAGGTAATGACGAACAAAAACATTGGAATATAAAAATGTTTCCAAAAAAACCGTACAGATTATTACGTCAATCATTGGAAGAAATTGAAACACATTTATTAGATCAATATCATCAACGTCTCTATGAATTACGTTCACGTCTGAAACGAAATCGTAATGATTTTGAAATACGTATACAAATGCTACAAATGGAGCGTACTATTGAAAATCGTATACGTGAAGTATTTCTCCGATTCATGTGTACAATACTGCACGGTTATAATAAATATTTGAAACCTATTCTACGTCGTCCAAATCAATTGTCAACAGATGCGAATATGCTGTTTCAATTTGACACATTTTTACATACACGGGATTCTTCTTATAGAATATTTTATAATTATTTATTAAAGACCCAAATGTTTATACGTTTTATTGAAGAGTGTTCATTTTCATCGTCATCAACTCTCATATCTAACTCATTAACGAATTCAACAAACACTCCAAACACTAATTTCTATGATAATAATTATAGTCTTGCATTTTTTGACGATTGTTGTACAAAACTAAAGCAATATATTGAAAGCAATAACATGATATTATCTGAACAACCGCATTTACTAGACATAAATAATTCGACAGCATTTTTGAATGATAAAACTATTTTGATATTACCCGAATTTCTTGATCACAGTCGGATGTCAACAAATGGAAAAGGTGAGAATCATTTATCGGATACCGATGAAAATCAACGATTATTATCGAAACGAAGGCACACAACGCAGAATGATTCATTACCGTTAAATACCGCAACAACAGCTACAGCATCAAGAATGTCATCGACAACGTCAAGTCATCACTACTCACAACCAAACCAATCATTATCAACAACACCTTTAAAAATAATACCAAATAGCCCAATGGTAAAGCGATCTAAATTTGAACGTGATAAATGTCAAAAAGTAAGTAAAAAAGAGTTTTATTATGAAAAGGCCAAGTAGCTTTAACCCTTTGAGGACCGGTGGTCCAAAAATGGACCACCTATTTTTCAATAAAGGAAAAACTGTTTAGTTTACATTAAACTAATACACATGTAAGGTTATTAAGGTCATAAACAACTACATGTGTCATCTCATCCTTTTCTTTTCTTTCTTTTCAAATATTCTTTGTTCTTGCTGCTTAGGTACAGTGACGTCATAATTTCTCTCCTCTGCTCTGATCTATTGTTTTCGAGAACATTCTCATTCTCTTTTGGTTATATAGGTATATATACTCCCGTTTTCATTGACGAATTCAGGTTGTTCTTGGATTTACAAAGGATATCATTTCTTTTTACCATTT